TTATTTTCATTAAACTTAAATTTAATTCATCATTTGTCATATTAACATTATCATAGTTTCTGTATCTTTCATTCAAAAAGATGATTTGTTTTATTTTTCATGTTATCTATATTTAATCATCATTTATATTTCATATATTATTTCCAATATTCTAAAGTAATATCATTATTGATATATTTCATTTTGTGTTTCTTTCTTATTCTAATTTTTTGTTAGAATCAAACATGGTTTTATTTCTATTGACTTCGACTTTTTCATTTTTATTCAAATTCTTTATTCATTGTCATTATTTATTTTATCTACTTTATTATTTCTATTGTTTTATTTTGAATTTCTTCAAACCTTATTCTTTTTATTTCATATTCTTTTTATTTCATATTACTTATTTCATCTTATTTGTTGTTTTTCTTTTTATTTCTTTATTTCTTAAAAATTATCTCCTGTTATTTTAGTCTGGATGTAATGTTATATACACATTAAAATTATCTTCATATCACCTTGCTAATCCTATATTCTGCATCCTAACCATACCTTTTTATCATTATTTCTTTTGCATCTTTCCTTTGAAATTTTTAATTATTGTTGAAATGTTTAATAAACGTTATTCAATAAAATAATAGAAATTGTTTATTTATTTTACTTTTGTACATTCTTTTTATTTAATGTTTTACTTTTTTTACATTGATGAATTTATCAATATTTCATTTGATTAGTGATTCTATCAATAATTATACAATTCTATTATATTCATTTTACCGTTAATTAGTTACAAATATTTTTATTATTTTCCAATACCAATAAAAATAATTCTGATAATTACATTGTATTCTGCATTTTTTTTCATTTGACTACACACACTAAGATTATTAATGATTCTTGGATTGTGCAAAAATGAGTTTTTATACTTTTAATTTACAAAAAAATTTATTAAAAATGTCATATTTATTTTAAATAGATGTTAATGTGTTAATGTTTATTCAAAAATGTATTAAAGAATCAATTTATATCAATAGTTTAATTACTTCATCCATTGTACTATTTTAATCCTATTTTTTGTTTGTGTTAGCACTTAAATAATTATGTTTATTCAACAGTCACCAAAATATATAAAAAATTAGAAATTTAAAGAAATAAAAGATAAACTAAAAAAAGAAATGGGTATAATTGGTTCAATACTCCTCTTAATTCAAAGACATTTATTCTTATTTTTTTTAATACCTCAACTGGTCTTAATAGGGTATGTGATGTATAATAAAAATGGTTTTGATGATTGCTATAGTGATCGTACTGTAGCTCAAAGAAAAGGAGTTTCATCATTATTTAGCCCTTACAACTTTACGTTGGTTATTTCTGTGGCATTAATTGTGATTACTTCAGTCAGAAAGGTAGAAGGAAAATTTGTAGTAATGATGAATGTGGTTAACAATTTCCTCAATGGGTATATGTTCCATCGTTCTTTATATTTTATATCTGGAATCCTTAAAGAAAATATTGGAGACACTAATTGCAGTGTTAATAATGCTAAACCTAATGGTATTAGTGGACACTTTTTTACCGCAATATTCTTCTTTGCACTTTTTGTTCATTTACTTAGAAAACTCACCTTTCAACCAAAGCATTCTAACTTGCTTTGTTTTGAGTTTTGTGAACAAAAAAATAATCAAACATTTTTTAAGACAGTACAAGAATTATTTTGTATTGATGACCTCCCAAATACAAAACATATCCTTCTTGGGAAAGGAGGATTACTAATTTATTTATTCACTTGTTTATTAACTATGGGAGATACTTTATTAAGAGGATATCATACTCCACGACAAGTTTTTTATGGGATATTATTTGGTATTGTTTCTATCATTCTTTATACTTTGTTCATCAAAACCCCTTTCAAATATCAAAGCTTGACCAATATGATAATGATTATTGCCTCTTATCTTACGTTTTGCCAAATACATTATCATCACTTTAAATTCACTGGCTTCTTTATTACTGGAGTCATATCTATTTTATTAACACATTACTCAATTCTTTCTCAAACTTCATGTTCTAAGGAAGAATAACTCTACTAAAATGAATTTATTTTTTTTATTCATATCAGTGTTATAATACCTTATTAATTCTTTGTTTTTTTATTATACAGACTATAAAAATTAACCAAAAATAATGAAGTTGTTTTATAAAAGTTAGCTTTACATAAGTTCAGCTAATTCATCTTCTTCTTCTTGAGTTAAAGTTTTCTTTGTTACTTTTTGTTTAGTAACTTTCGCTTTTGGTGCTGGAAGGTCTTGTTCTAATTCCGCTAATTCATCTTCTTGTTCGTCAAGAACTTGATCTTCTAATTCAGCCAAGTCATCTTCTAATTCTCCTTGGTCAATGTCTTGTAAGTCTTCACCTAAAAGATCACCAATCTCATGAGACTTTTCGTTATTTTCACGTAATTCATCCATTGTCTTTTCAATCTTTCCTGCATCCATTTCCTTATTGATTTTTGTCATTTCTTTATTAGCTGCAGCAAAAGACCTAGCGGTATCAACTTTAACTTTAGCACTTTCCATTTCAAGAATTTGACTTTCTAAATTCATTCTTAAATTAATAGTCTCGTTCATATTTTTTTCGTGCATCTTTTTCTTTCTTAAATGTTGAGCAGCTCCTGTCTTATCTCCCTTTTTCATACATTCTTTTGCTTTTTCAAGTTCCATCTCCATTCTTTTTCTATCATATTCTTCTTTTTTTTCCATAGTTTTAATTTGTTCATTCATTTTTGCTATTGTTTGTTTTGTAGTATTTCTTCTGAACCAAGACATTTTTTCTTATAAGAATTATTTTTTTTTAGTTCTTTTTAACAACAAATCTAAACTAATCATTATTTATTATAAAACTCTTTTTTAGTTTTGTTTCATATATTTTTAGTTCAATGATGAGAATGAGATTTATCTTAATATTTATCAACAAAAATTCACTATTTCCAAAATTTAAAAATTTTGTCTTAAAAAGAGAAAAACACTTTTTATTTATCATTATGTTATGTGAAATTGTTCATTTAAACTTCTTCTTCTTTCACACTACTTTCATTTTCTTCCCTTGAGGCTTCTTCATTGTTTTCCTCGTCTGAACTATCAGTGTTTTCTTCTTCTTCATCTTCTTCACTATCTTCATCATACTCTCCAGCATTTGGATCATATTCTCCACTTTCATCATCTGATACTTCTTTTTTATTGTCATCACTTTCATCATCTTCTTCATACTCCTCATCTTCATTTAAGAATTGTTGGAACCCTGCAGAGTCTAATGGTTTTTTAGCTTCTTCAATAATATTTTGTGCTAAAGTTGTATCACCTACAATACATTCAGCACATAGTCTACTTATTAATTCTGCAACGTCTTCAATAGATTCATCTTCACAACTTGTATTCATTTTTTGTTCAAAGAAGTTATATAGAAAATCAATGATTGAATGTGGATTAATTGTATTTCCTTTTGTTCTATATTTTGATATAATACTTTGGACCATTGAATCTTTTTTTTGTTGTGAGTTAACACCACCAAATTGATGTTCAACACATAGTCTTAATGTAGACCAACAATCCATAAGTCCACGAACACTTTGCTCGAATAACTTAAATTCATTTTCTCTACCATTCCAGGGTTGCATGTTAAAAGAATATAATGACTGTTACTCATAAATGAAAAAAGGGTTTTTTGTTAAATAAAAGTAAAATTTTGTGGTTTTGAAGAAAAAAAAATAGTTTACTTAATTCCATTGAGAGTCACAACAATTGTTCTTGATCCACCATTATCCCTATGTTCATTTAAATAGATACCTTGCCATGTCCCTAAACACAAATCACCTTCTCTTATTGGAATATTTAAACTACATCCAAACATAGAACATTTAGCATGTGCTGGCATATCATCATCTCCTTCCATGCAATGTTCATATGGTTTTGTTCCATCTGGGATTAGTTTATTAAAAATAGTCTCCATGTCTTTTCTTACAGCTACATCACATGAAAATATTCTTAGTAATTATAAAAATCAACAAACATGGATCACAATTTTCATTAATACATAATGAAGCAGATGTATGCATTACTAATTTATGTTAGTCTATAAGTCTAATAAATAGTAAGATAAACAAACAAAATACATTACACATTCCAACTTTAATAGTTTTGAGTTGTTGAGAAACACATCTAATAACTTCATTAGTAATTAAATGAGAACCTCTTCTTTTAGAAATTTTAATTTGATTTTGAAACCAAACAACTTGAGGTTGGGGTTGATTCATAAAAGTGAGCACTTTCTAGTTCTTGATATAAAAAGGAGAAAGAAAATAATAAGATTTGGTAATAAAAGAAATGATTAAAAAAACGAAGGTTAAGTAGTTTATTCTTTTTTATCAAAAATATTAAAATATCCATCAGCAAGTTCTGTTGGTAATAATCCATTCATTACGGCATTAACTAATTTTAGTTCTGATAATGCCTCTACTACTCCAGAAGGATCAGAAATGACACCTTCATTATTAATTGATGAACTTAATAATTGGATACTATGTTTAATTCGTTGTTTTACTAACTCGTTTGTCTCAGCCTCTTCCTTTTTCTTTTGTTGTTGTTCTGTTTTTTGTTGTTCTTGCTGCTGTTCTACAACAGACCGATCTTCTTGAACGTGCTTAGGAATAGTAAATTCTTCTTGTTTCTTTTGGGCTCTTTGTTTAGTTCCCATTTCCATAACTTTTTGAGTAAGAGTAGTTCCAGATAATGGTTTGATATAAGGTAATGGGTCATAGTCTCCCTTTTTATCTGCAAGTTCTTTTGCTAAATTGATAACATCATGTATATCTTTTATGTCTGGATATTTCATGAATAGCATCATTGTCGTTGAATATTGTGATGACTCTAAAATAGGCTCTCTTATTTGGACCATCATCGCAAGGAATAAATAATCGACAAATTCTAAATTGTTTCCATAAGCAAAGATCGCATCCCATACATTAAGAACATCCATTACATGGAACTCTCGATCAAATAATAAACGTAACCAACGACTAAGCTTTGTTTATTATATGATTAATAATAATAAGAAACAGAAGAAACAAACGTTCCAAATATGACTAAATGAATTCCTTCATATTTAAGATGTAAATATAATTGGTTGTCTAATTTTTCTAATTCTTTAAATAATTTATCACATTTTATCATTAATTTAGTATGTGTAGCAGATCCATCAGGTGATTCAATTGTAGAATTTCTTGTTTCATTTGGGTCATAAAAATCTGTAACACTGTGCATTAATAAATCAAACATAGTATATGCATCATGTTCCATGTATTGTTCATCAAAAATATAAGACATCACTTTATATACATCCGCATTAATACTTTCTTTAAATTCATCTTTCATAAGATTATCCATAACATCTTTTGTTCCTTTCCATGACTGGATATCTCTTGATATACAATAATACAATACACCTACTAATTCATGAAATCCTTGATTATATTGTAATTCACTATGTTCTAGTGAGTATATGACACAAACTCTTTTGATATGTTCTCTAACTTGGTCATTTCTAAAGAAATCATATTCACTAAATAAACGCAAAATATCAACACCAACTCGTTTTTCAACATCCATTTCATTAAAATGTTGGCACCAAGGGTTTTTTTCATTAATTGATAATGGGTCTGGAATGGTATCACTCTCTTCTGTTAACTTTTTTAAATTTTTTTCCCTTATAGGTCCATTTTCTAATTTATCAACAAGCATTTGATATTTGTTTCGTTGTTGTTGTGTTTCTTCAATCCATCCATTCCCACAAATTCCATGTAATGCTCCTAAAAAGATTCTCCAAGCAATGGACCTAATATCCATTGTATCAAATCCACTATTAATACCAACTTCTTTAAGTGAAGAATAACCATCGTCAAAAACAAAGAACTTTTTAAAACAGTCTAATTGATTAGTAGTTTGTATGTCTGTTTCAGTCATATTTCTTTGAGTTAACTTTTTAAGTTCTTTTTAAATTCTTTTAGATTTTTCATTAAAAAGTAAATAAAAAAACACGCATTACAAGAAACACCACAGAAAATATAAAAGAGCCAATATAACGAAAGAAAGAGAAATCCATAACAATCAATAATTATAAATGATAGAAGAATATGTGAAATAACTATTATTGGTATTAACATAAATAGTTTTATTATGAAAATAACACAATATAATCATCATGAA